GGCGTGATGACGTCGTTTACCCGTTGTTGTAGCACTGCCCCGACAGCTTTCTGCGATGCATATGTGCATAGAATTAGATTTGTCGTGGGGTCAGTGTTGAGGTGCTGTAACATAGTGGCGTTGGATATAAGAGATTTAGCTTTCTCGAATGCAGTTTTAGCATCGGTCGATAAGTTGAATATGTCGTTTTTAGTTTTTCTCGTCACTTGGTTGTCGGCTTTTAACAAGTCAGTCAGAGGTTGTAAGGTTTCAGCGCAATGTGGTAGGAATCGTCGGTGGAAATTACACATTCCAAGGAAACGGCGTAATGCCTTTAGTGAGGTAGGTTCAGGGTAGTTGATGATGGCGTCTTCTTTCTCCTGTAGTGGTCTTATGCCTCGTGAGTCTATGTAATGTACCAGAAACTCCAAGGCAGGAGCGCCAAAGATGCACTTCGAAGGATTAATGACGACTCCATACTGTTGGAAGCGATCGAAGAGGGTTTTTAGGTGCTGAACATGTTCTTCGATCGACGCGCTAGCTATAAGAACATCATCGATGTAGACAAAAACAAAGTCGAGGCCTCTGGTTACCTCACCCATAAACCGTTGGAACGTTTGGGCTGCGTTTTTTAACCCAAATGGCATTCTCAAAAATTCAAACAAGCCAAAAGGTGTGATAATAGCTGTTTTTTCAATATCTTCAGGTGCCACCGGGATTTGGTGATATGCCCTGACTAGGTCAAGTTTTGAAAAAAAATGTTTTCTATATAAGTTAAGCGAAAAATCATGAAGATGAGGAATAGGGATCTGTCAGGTGTCGTTTGGTTATTTAAACGTCGATAATCGCCACATGGACGCCAGTCCTGGTCTTTCTTTGGTACCATGTGTAGTGGCGAAGCCCATGGGCTGTTTGATTGACGGATGATACCCAGTTGCATCATGTGTTCAAACTCTCTTTTGGCAATCTGAAGCTTATGTGGGGGCAGTCGCCTTGGTTTGGCGCAGACGGAAGGACCAGTAGTAGTAATGTGATGAAGTATGTGATGTAAACTGCCTTCCTTTCGATATTCAACCTTGGTGATGCTATCATATTTAGTTAAGAGGTCGGCGAAAGGTTGATTATCAGGCTTAATTAAACGTACTCCATGAATTTCGTAAATGTTAGCAGTAATGCCGTTTACGTGTAAACGTGTCTGATTGTCGATTAGTCGTTTGGCGCGCACGTCTACTAGCAGATTATAGGCAGTAAGGAAATCTGCTCCCAGGATTGAATGTTTTACCTGTGCTACTACAAAGACCCACGTGAAACGTCGTCTGAGACCGAGGTCGATTATTAGTGACTGTTCCCCGTAAGTCTGAATGATTGTTTCATTCGCTGCTTGGAGTGTATTCTTGCTGGGGGTGATATGTTGCCGTCGGGAGAGGTATAGAGGGATAATGCTTATTTCGGCTCCTGTATCTACTAAGAAGTCTGAGCCCGAAATTCTGTCCCTGATGTGAAACAGACGGCTAGTAGCATGGCCAGAAGCAGTCGCCGCCATTACTGTCTGGCAGGCCAGTTTCCTTGTAATTCGTGACTGCTTGTAGGGAAAGTGCACGGCTTGGTACAACGTCGTGCTTTCTCACCATACTTCTGATGGTACCAACAAACGCCAGTTGGTCTTTTTGGAGATCTAGAGCGATGTCGCGATCCTGACCTTTTTCTAGGAATTATCGAAGTTGGTTTCGTGGTTATCATAGCTATCGAAGCACGTAGTGATTCAATCTGATTTGTGAGTTGTGCTATTTGCTGTTGTTGGAGGCTAATGACATTACACATATTATCTATACCAGTAGTTTGTACAGAATTAACAACTTGGTTATCTGGGTAGATTTCAGTTATTTTATCAGCCATGTCGGCTAACTCAGTCAGGTTGGCTGAATTAATAGTTACCATAAGAATCTGTCTGACATTGTGAGGTAGCCGTTGAAGCCAAAGTTGTTTGAGTATATTCTCGTCTAATTTATAAGGACCAGACAACTCTTTCATGTATCGTAGTAATTGGGATGGCTTTTTATCTCCCAACTCACAGGAGGTTAATAACTGTTGTAGCCTTGTTTCGTCTGATGCAGAAGTTCTGTGTATCAATGCGGCTTTAAGTTTATCATATGGGTCGTTTTCAGGCACTTGAGCAATAAGATCTCCCACTTGTGCAGCTTTGTCTAATGGGAGTGAGCTTACAACATATGCGTATTTCGTAGTTTGTGCGCGTATGTTTTTGGCTGTAAATAAAGCTTCAATCTGACAAAACCACATCCTAGGGTTGCTAATGCCAAACGCAGGAAGATTAAAATCTGAGATGGCATTAATGGAAGTTAGGGTTTTATCTTCAGACTGTGATGTGGAGAAAGGATTAGCTGGGAGAGAGTCCATTGTAAGTGATTTAGTACAAATAAAGCCGTATGAGATATAAACAAAATGGGTAAGCCGAAAATAATAATAAAAATTATAATAGCATAACAAATAGCATAAACACACGCTCACTAATTAACTCTGGAAAACGTTGGGGTCACCATTTAATTGTGGTGGACCACCCAATATATTATTTCAAAATATTAACAAGGTTATCAGATATCAATGAGTTCATATTGAAATATATCAGTTAAATGAGATAAATACAATAAAAATATAAGAACGTTACTTAATGCAGCTACTTGTGCGTGTTCGATTTGATCTGGTGGTCTTTTACCACAATTTTGGTTCGTTTAATATTCCATTTATCATGATAATCCGAAGGTCAGTATGTGTATGTGGCTGCAGTCTATAAAGTAGATAACATACGTATTAATTATTATGAATAATATCCACTAAGCAGATGAGAATAACAATGGTATGTATAAAGTGTATTTGATAATGTATAGCGGCGAGGGCCGTGCTAGTGTACAATGAACGGAAAGTGAAAACAGCGTGTGTGTATATAGAGCGCCTGTAATAATAATAATGATGGTCACACACATAAACAAAAAAGTACAACAATCTCATGGTGAATGTACAAGCTGTGAAATTTAACCAAAATAAATACAGATAGTATCAAAAACTGTTTACAAAATAAGTTTGTCATGCCATCTCCACAGGTATCTTTGAGCCAACCTAACATTTTTTTGCCCAAACCAACACAGACTGATCAAATCTACCGCTCCATGCAGTAAAATCAACCGACCTTCTATCTTATCTAATGTCCTACATTGTTCAGTGACCAAATAAGTCTCGTTTCCTGAACAAAACTTTAGAGTTATCCAAGCTAATCAATATTACATGAAGTAATGTCAACCTAACTTGGCGAGTAGTAATATTTACTTTAGCTTCGAAAAGACATTTCTGATCCACAATTCGATATCATCGATTCTTTTTTCTGAAACGTTTTGTCAACAAGCACACTAATCCTCTCTGTAAACCTCAAAAGTGACGAGGTGTATCACAATCAATTTCCACGCATGATTGAGAATTCTGGTCCATCTGTTCACTACAGTTTACTGATCGGTGATTAATCGGTGGTCCTCCCTGAAACCGTGTTGTTTGGGTGAAAAGAGTTCTGCAAATAAATGCTTGTAGACCGGCGATTCCGTAAATGCCAAGTGTGATGCACGCTTTTAATTGTCTGGAACCGCTGCCAGGTCTGGTAAATGGGAGAAAAATCATCAGATGTTGTTATCAGGACTGTGGAAGCTTCTCTCAATATATAGGGGCAAAGATATTTTTTTGTTTGGATACACTATTACAGTGGTTCAATCAATCTATCAGGCTATTTTTCCTTTGGAGATGATTTGATACCGGTATATTTTAACATACTGTTCTACGACGAGTGCTTTGACATTGACGATTCGACTTTTTCGACCTAACAACTTTAAAACGCCATTATCGGCTTGCCAAAGAGAGCCGCTGTGATATAATTGATCTTCTGGATCACGAACAGGTTAACCTAGATCTGGTACTCATCTTCTCTCAGCACTTTACGTGTTGCTTCCTAACTTCTTCTAATTACCTATGTGCTGTTTCCACTCGTTTGTTTATATTCTAGGTATTATTACCTCCCGACATTCAACGATTAAACGGTGCGATTACGCAAGAATTTAGGTTGCTTGCAACTTTTCAGGTATAGCGGTTACTCTATGTAACCTCTTGCTTGTAGTGTTGAATATATTACACTCTTTCCAACTCAAATCTGTTCTTCATATGTGCAAGGCGTCCAGTCTAGCATATGCAAATCACCCATTACGTGAAGCAAAGCTGTGGTGTTGGTATGTAAGTAGTGGACATCTATTTAAAATAAACTTATTTTCTCGTCTTTGTACTAAATGATCCATCTGTAAATTTGTTAAAAGCTTACCGGTAATAAGCAATGGGAAACGGTGATTCATGTACCTCCACAGAGGATTACTCTTTTCACAGTTCACTAGCATAGTCATCAGTTCTGATCGAATTTCATCATCAATCCTAAAATCATATGTGCTGTTTAAGCGATTGAAAATCGCTTTTCGTATTGGACTCCAATTGACACGATATGCCTTGAGAGCGAAATCCGCCGTTTGGCACTAGTGTAGATATCGGTCTGGAGTGGATCATGTAATAAAAGGCGCACATTGGGGCGTTAAAGTAATTGCTCTGAAAAGTATAACATTCAACTTTGAAAGATTTGGGGATGACGTTTTTGATGAGTTCTTTTAAAACAATCCCAAAAATTAATTTTTTTATAAAGACTGGAGAAGAGTAACTCATGTGTCATTTTTTAACTATATCTTTCACTATCACGTGATCTTTCACAACTTATAGCTTCTAAGATGCAGTGACAAAGATGACAGGGTTTCGTGATCACAATCCTTTTTCTTAAACATCGGGTTGGTCACTTCAATCCTGAGCACTTTAGGTTTTGGGGCGCGTTTTTTGAATATTTGCCGTACGGACTGGGGTCTTTTGTAAAACTTTTGAATATGTTATAGTTCTGTCGCATGTTCATATTTTAAAAGTTTTGAATATAAAACATGCAAATCAATGTTGAGCCGGATGTCTTTGAGCAGTTTCACAAGTTGAAGCAGCTACACAAACCAGTTGGGAGTGATAGTGAATTTCTCTCTTTTATCGTGTCCCACATTCAAAAATGTTGTTACAAAAGCGATAGGTAAGTGAGAATTTTCATGTATGTTCAAATTGATTAGTTGTAACCCAGCTGTTCAAGCTCTTACGAATGGCACGTCGCTGCGGTCATGCCCGGAATGCAAATTTTCAGCCGGCACTTCTGAACAGCTTTGGGATCATTTCGAAAGTGTTCACCCTGATGAAGGGAGCTTCTCTTGTACATGTGGGGACTCTTATAACCGTTTGCCGTTGTTTCTGAGGCACTATGTAGATTGTCCGGTAGCATCTACTGATTTGGAAGATCCTCGTCGTAACTTCGCCTCACTTAAGGACGGACGTAGAATTTTACCTAGCATCCTTCATTCTAACTGTGACGGTGGTATCGCGGGTACAAAATTGGGCCAGCCTAATGTCTACCACCCTTACCGTCAGTCTACAGTATCGTCTGCCCCAGGTCCGTCAGGTGACAAGCCATATGGTTGTCCAAAATGTTATAAGGGTTTTAAAAGCAAATCTCTACTCGATCAACACATGCATCTCCATTTTCCTCCTCGCTACAAATGCAGGTGGTGTGGTAATGTCTACCGTTGGCCACCTGTTTATTACCATCACAAGCAACGGTGTAAAAAGCGTCCAGTCATAAGTATGAGTGATATCGGTCACGCTTCTGACTACCGTTGTCTTAATGGTTCAATTATGAAAGTCGAAGACTCCCAAATGCATGTCGATCATATTTCACCGAGACAAACCGCGTTCAACCGTTTTGTGAATGCACCAGGAGTTTCTTTCACTCAAGAACTGGCGAATGACAACATCATTCAGAATGTTCCAGTCATCGGAGACGATGCAGCTAACTGTTCGCTAACATGCCTATGCACGGAAAGCTTTCTAAATGTCCCTTCCTACCTTGAGCATGCAACTATATGTCCAAAAGTTGTGTCGGCGTCCTCTGTCTTCGAAAATCTTGCCAATAGAGCCCTATCTACTTCAAACAACTTAGGATTCAGATCTCCGCGACAAAGGAATTCTATTTCAAATTTCCGGGAATTACCGCCCGAATATCTTTCACAACTAAAAGATACAACTTTAATGCACTCTAATCCTGGTGGTATTTTTTCGTGTAACATGTGTGGCAAGGAGTTCAATTCCAAACTATCTCTCAAACAGCATGTAGATGGAAAACATCGTGCTGAAGGTAAGTACCTCTGTGGGACTTGTGGTAAACGGTACCGTTGGGGTGCCTCGTTTTATTACCACAAAAAAACATGCGCCGGGCCTGTGTCTTGTGTACTCAATTCTCAAACTCCGGAGCTTGTGACCACACACACTTAGTAAACTTGTGAAATATACCTTACCTCTTTTTCATTTCTGTTGTAATTGCCACAGCTCGTGATACAATATTTATATATTCAGCTGTTTATTACCTGATATCGTACTTTAAATGTTGTGAATTCCAGGTAATCGAATTATTTATGAGCTTCGTTATATTTTACTGTTTCTATATCGTTTATTATCGCATTTGATCTCTAGCTTGTTTTTTGAAACGGAAATTGTGTAACGATGTGGCGGTTACCAGTCTTGATTTTGTAAATAATTCTATTAAATAAACTTAATATTCCAGTTTATCTAAGATCTGTGCATAATCTAACTTTTTAGTTCACTCATTGCACTGGTGCATTTATCGTCACACTAGTATTTTGTCAATCTTGTAATTAGTGTACATTTGTGTACTGACATATTTCCTCCCCCCTAATAGAAGGATTTCTGAATTTATCCATTATATACATGCTTTTTGTTCTTGCTTTTCATTTATCTAGTCGACACTCAATGTTTTATGTAATCAATCCGTTGACCCATTTTGATTCTTTTAATTTTTTTATGAGAAATGAAATCTCACCTCATATTCTGCGTTCATTTGTTGCTGCATAAAGCTTTCAAGGTATAAGATTCACAAAGTAGTTTATTCTGGGTTGTTTTATACATACCATGTCTGTAATTTTCTGTTAGAGGTAGACGATGTGACAGCATCTTAGTCGACGCCTTACGTACATCGGTGATCTTAAAGTGGTGACTTGAATAGAAACACTTGTCTAACTTTGGAAAAAGTACCTCAGATGCACATAAATAAGCAGATCCCAAATTTTATCTGTGGTTTTATTCATGGAGTATTTTGTTGTATACAGCACACTAGCAATCCCTTGTTTAATGCCGGTGACTTTTTTTGTAGATCATACTATTCAACTTAATTGTTACTTGTGGTCATCTTCCCCAATTCCTAAGGTAACTTATAGCTTCGTACAGTTTGTTTCGCTTCACACATGAGTCACATGTTTGTCTTACTTTGCTTGTATGATGCATACCAACATTCCAGTCTATGGATTGAGGTCATTAAGTGCATGGGGAAACCCAAGATCTAATACCTGCTAATTTTAAATCCTACCGAAACATTCCACATTAAAAATGCTTGTATTTTAATTTGCGAACACCATACTTCCCTCTTTTAATCTCAGTAAAGCCTACCTCACATTTACTGAATTTCGTACTTTTCAATACTTGACTGGTAAGTTCAGATACTCCACAACTTTCTCACCATTTTTATATTGCTCCCACTTCAACGGACTATTACCCTTACAGTTCCTACTGATTCTAAAAATGTAAGGTATCGGTTCTCAGATAAGATGGTTAAAAACTATGTTTGAATTGCTGTTAATTAGTAATAAGTGTATTCTGTGAATTATTCGCATAAAGTAGGCCTAAAATGGTAATACTGTTGACATCAGACGCAGGGTAGCTGTGTTGATGCCTGCAGTAATTCGAGTAAAATTTATCTTGTTGCCCAATATCCAGGTCACATTTCATTTCATTGTGATGACCACTTCACTACTTGTACGATTGGATTCGGAATAATAAGATAGTAAATCGTAAAATCGCATCAGGGTAGTTTCCAGCACGTTTGTGGTACATACGCTTACTTCCTAGTGAACCATTTTACTTCCTACATAGCCATGTAAAATAATTGTTAAGTGTTAACATAAGAATATGTATTCGGGCATATAATCCTACGAATCATTCGGATTTAGTGATAGTTATCAGTGGAAATAGATAGTAGAGCTTCAGCCAAGGAAGCCAGGCTAATCAGTGAAATTTTATACATGAATCGATTGAAGTGGTCAAAATTGTGTAGGTTCAGAACCATTCACAGTTTGCCACTTAAAGTGAGGATTTCATGGATAAATGGCAGCTACGAAGTGCTTTGGAATTCATCGGGAAATATTATTAATCTATGGAATGTCTACTTATACTATATCGAGTTACAGCTCTCCTGATCAGCACCTACAAGTGGAGTCACCAACCGAATATTCTGAGTGGAAAAGCCCCACTTAGTCTATAGTTATCACTAAGACACTGACTACTTTCCTGTTAGTCAGTTATCAACGTGGGGCCTGGTCTAATGTTTACCACTTCGAGTTGCTACATATTAGTACACTAAGGAATGGAACGAAAGATTGGGTACTAATACTAACTTTATCGTAAGTTTAAGTACTATATAAACTGCATTAATGCAACAGATGGAAAGTGTAAAATGGAATTTATTTGAAATTTAAGAGAAATATGGAGAATCGATGCGACTAAACCATTTGGATCAGTTTTGAGACACATTGCCTTATACCTCCAGACCGAAATTCATTCCCGTTAGGGGTTTTTTCAGTTGACCAATTAAACGGTTATAGTGTTATGGGAAGTTTGGTGTTGTTTAGCTTGTCCATATGTAATGATACTCAGCATACGTTAGAAATCCCGGTGTTGAAGTGGGGTTTGAATGTTAGGTAGTGAAGAGACTTTAGCAAACTAAATTATCTGCATTGCAATAGTCTGTTAATCCAAGGTTGTTAGCTGATTCTGTAAGTTAGAAAATTGGGTTGGTTGGAACAAAAAGTAACATAACCTCATTTAGAGTGCAACAATCACGAGTATATGGTGAACTTTACGATGCTACCACTGGTGTTACTTCTACACTATAATTTTAATTGTAACCCCATTTGTTATATACCCAAAAGTAAAACAGTCAAGACGAAGCAAACAAATATTGGCATTTTAAAAGTATAATTCATCACGAATAAATCATTAAAAAATTGATAATAACTCTTAATTTTTTTCCTCAGTTCTTCTTAACCATATTTTGTGAATTATTTAATCTTTCTGTAATATCTAATTGAATAACTGTATGAAAGCACAACTACGTTTTTTCATGATGTCGGTTCTGTTGTTTGTATCATATTTAGCAACTTGCACAAAAGTCGAACTGAATATATGACCGGAATAGCATTTTTATTGGCTAGTATATATGTGACAATAAGATTAGGGCTGATACATTTTTGTTATAGCTGGCCGACATTAAATTAGGTAAACAATCACATCATTTTAAAGCATAAAAGAAATTGATTCCGAGTAAGTAACGAAGCCTTGCTTTTGATTTTCTTTATAAAAGAAAGATGTGAGTGTAGAGAGAATAGGTGATATTGAAGAGGATTGACTGTAGCTTTATCTGATAAACTTATACTTCGTTACTGCTACGTAATGGAATTAATAATATTGGAACTCCCGAAAACACTTCAAAAACGTAATCGCTAGTGAACAACGGAATTTCTTATGTTTTGCATAACGATACTAAATGATTCTTTTGTGAACTTGATTTATTGGTTGGGGTATAATCCTCTTGTTTCGATTGGATCAACCAATGGTTAACACGAAGTAAGTGGTTTAGTTTGACAGTGTATATGGTTACTGAGCCGTATATCTATGTGTACACAAAAAATGATAATATTCAGTTTGTATACTGAAAGGACTGACGGGAAAATAGTGGAGTTATCGCTGTTATCTTTGTTGATTCACGCAGGCTATTTAAATTTACTATAATTAGTAGTTCCTAAGCTTCCACATGATAACTAGTTGACTAACCCCCAGCATACGCAATTAACTTTACCATTCACAGTACTTCATCTTAGCAATTGAAACAGCTTCATTTAAAAAATAATTAATTTCCACTTCTATAAGAAATTCTTCAAGTAGTACTTGTGTTCAGAATTATTGGTCTTGACAAATATTTTTGGCTTATGGTAATGTTGGGAATTTTTGCTTCTATTCTATAAATTATGTTTATAATAGTGTAATCCATTGAAGTTTCCCGAACCACATGTCGTATTGACTGATGTGATTTTTAAGTCATTTAAGTAGTTGAAACACGACTTCTAAAAAGCAGACTGTTATTCCGAATTTCGTCTAACTTGCGTTAGTTCAGGCAACAGTTTGTGTTTATGTATGTGTGTTTCATGATTTTGTTTTTTTGGATGGTCTTATAAAATTATTTGATGGTGAGGGAAATATTTTTCTAACCCATTTTGTCGGGTTTATCTCATATTTTTTCGGTGATTGCTGGCTCTTGGATTTTAAACGGTCCCCGATATCATATTAGTTTTGATTAGCGTTATGTGATGCTTAAATCAGTTGTGAGGTTGAAAAACGACTTCTGAATACTAGATCGCTGCGTGTAGACTGCAGCACCACTTTGAAATGTTTCTGGTTTATGCTTATTTGTTGCCACAACGAACTAAAGTTAGTTTGAAATTTTTTATCTTTGTGATGTGATTTAACTAAATATATTATGTATATATAATCAGTATACAAATTGACAAGTTGGATTCTCCTTTTTAGGAATTATGGTCCGTCCATGAGTGACGTTTAGATGGCTTTCGCTCATTCGAAATAACTAATTTTGTATGTATTACTGGCAGCTAGTTTTCTCTAGCGTTCTGATATTCTGGCTGAGAAGATATAGTTATAAATTCATTTCTTAGACGTTTTGGTGGTGTTGTTTATAAAATTAGACTTATTAAGTGTTGTAGTAACAAGTGTACATTATTAGTTAATTCTAATTCCATCAATTCGAGGTAAACTTTAATCATTCAAAATACAACCACCCATTTATAAGGTTAAATGGCTACTTTCACTGTTCAATTCTGAAAGTGGTTTTGGTGAATTTAATTTGGATACATTGCATATTACCTTTCCAATCGAACCCGTGAATGCGCAACGGCAAGTTACTGATGATGATTTCTTTAGAAATTTTCTACCAGTTCAACTGCACTGTCCTTTTACATCTGGTAGAGGCTTTCTCGGTTTTGCATGAAGTCTTAAACAGCTTACCTAAATAAGCAAGATAATAGCTTTTACATAGCTGAAGCAACCAAGATCAACTCCCGAGAATCTTACTCATGTATCCAAAAGTGGCACATTCAACCCCTCTTTATCATGACTTACGATTGGGGTCTTTC